AAAAAAAAAAAAAAATGGCAAAGAATAATAGCACAGATCTTTTAATCTCAGTACTCTGGAGGATGAGACAGGAGGGTGGTGAGTTTTGAAGCAAGCCTGTACCAGAAAAAAATTACCTAATCATTAATAAGCCTATTGCTAGGCATAACCACTGAAAATAGTTTAACATTCCAGTATGTATCCTTTTGAGATTTGAAAAAATGCATGCATGTTTATATATGTGTACTTTTGTACTTTTTCTGGCTTTGTTTTGCTGGTACTGGGGCTTGAACTAAAAACCTTACACACTCTTTCTCACAGCTCCTTCTGTACCCACTTGAACCACACTTGCAGTTCCTCTTTATACTTAATTTTTTTTTTTTTGGTGCTGGGTATCAAATCTAGGATTTATACTAAGCAAATGCAGTATCCTTCAACTATGTCCCCAGCGTTGGGCACAGTTGTTTTACTAAAAACAGATTCAGATGTTTCCTTTTATGTCAAAGTCTTCACTATTGTTCCCAGTTATATTCTCCCATTAGTAATAACCATGGTTATGTCTTTGAGATTCTTTGTATTTATCCATAGAGGTATACTGCAGTGTTTTTCAGTTTTCATAATGAAAAACATGGTCATCCTGCCTGTATGACAGATGAAAAAACAGCATCTTGCTATTTAAATGTGGTCTAACAATACTTCTTGGGTTGAACAACTTTTTTTTTGGCCTGGGCACTGTCCCTCAGCTCTTCAGCTCAAGGCTAGTGCCTTGTTACTAGAGCCACAGCGCCATTTCCAGCTTTTTCTGCTTATGTGGTACTGAAGAATTGAACCCAGGGCCTCATGCATGTGAGGCAAGCACTCTACCACTGAGCCACCTTCCGAACCCACAACTTTTTTTTTTTTTTTTTTGGATCCAGGCATAGGGCCTGAACTCGGCCTGGGTGCTGTCCTTCAGCTCTTCAGCTCAAGGCTAGCACTCTACCAACTTGAGCCACAGCGCCACTTCCGGCTTTTTTTCTTTTTTTGCTTATGTAGTGCTGAGGAATTGAACCCAGGGCCTCATGCATGCAAGGCAAGTGCTCTACAACTGAGCCACCTTCCCAGCCCCAGCCCACAACTTTTTAAATGCTTTTTAAGTACCAGTATTGTTCTGAGAATCAGCAAAATTCTGACAATTGATAAACTAGTTTTCTTACTCCTTACATTAATAAATATTATTTCACCACATTTTAATATGGGTATTAACATTGAACAGATACAGCCAGGTGCCAGTGGTTCATGCCTTTAATCCTAGCTACTCAGAAGTCTGAGACCTGAAGATCATGATTCAAAGCCAGCCTTGGTAGGACAGTCTGTGAGACTGATCTCTAGCTACCTCCAAAAGGCTGGAAAGGAGCTGTGGCTTAAGTGATAGGGTGGTAACCTTGAGTACAAAAGCTCAGGTATGGTAGCCAGGCTCTGGAGTTCAACCCTAGGGACTGGTACAAAAAAAAAAAGAGAGAGAGAGAAAGAGAACTATAGACTTAGAAGAAGTTGTAAAATAGTAGAGAAGACCCTTCTGTTTATCCCCCAACTTTTCCCAGTTTTTTGTCTTACATAAGTGTACCCTTCTAAACCTGGGAGTGCTCAATTGATGAGGAAGCCGACTTCACTCTGATTTCAGTGGTTTTTTGTTTGGTTTGTTTTTTGCCAGTCCTGGGGCTTGAACTCAAGGCCTGGGCACTGTTCCTGAGCTTTTGCTCAAGGCTAGCACTCTACCACTTGAGCCACAGCCCCACTTCTGGCTTTTTCTGTTTATGTGGTACTAAGGCATCAAACCCAGGGCTTCATGCATGCTCGGCAAGCACTCTACCACTAAGCCACATTCCCAGTCCTGAGCAGTTTTTATGCATTATTTTTCATTTTCTACCTGTATAATTATATAATGTTCAAAAAATAATTTTTTTCTTTTTGCTTATGTGATACTGAGGAATCGAACCCAGGGCCTCAGGCATGCAGGGCAAGTGCTCTACCACTGAGCCACCTTCCCAGCCCTCAAAAAATAATTTTAAGTTGGTCTTTAGTGATTCATACCTGTAATTCTAGGTACTTGGGAGGGGGATATTGTAAGGATTACCATGTGAGGCTCGCCCTGACAAAAAGTTGATGAGATCCTGTCTCAACCAACAGCTAGATAGCTACTGTGGGAAGCATAAATAGGAGGATCAAGGCCCAGGCTGGCCCAAGCTGGCCCAGGCCAAAAAAAAAGAGAAAGAAGAGATACCCTTTCTCAAAAGAAACAAGCAAGAACAAAGCCCTAAATTCAAAGCATTCTACCATTTAAAAAAAAAAATTTAGATTTACAGAAAAGTTACAATGAAAACACAGAAATCCTTATACAGTTCTTACCCCTCCCAGTTGTTAGAATGGCACATTCATAAAGTGCATTTGTTACAACTTGGGGACCACCATTGCTACATTACTATTAACTAAACTCCATGTTTCACCAGATATGGTTGTTTCCTCTTATGTTCTTTTTTAATTCTTAGGTTTTTCAGATTTTTTTTTCTTTCTCAATTGTAGGGCTTGAACTCAGGGCTTGATTCAAGGCTGCCGGCTCTACCATTTTGAGTTTTCTCCATTTCCACTTTTCTGTTGTTTAGTTGGAGATAAGAGTTTCACAGACTTTCCTGGCCTGGTTTTGAACTGTGATTCTAAGTTCTCAGCCTCCTGAGTAGCTAGGCTAACAGGCGTGAGCTATCAGGGCCCAGCTCTCCTTGTTTTTGATAATCATGACTATTTGAAGAACACTGGTCACATATTTTGTAGATAGTCCCGTAATATGGATTTTAAATGTTTTTCTTATGGCTGGGTTAGGGTTTTCCCATGTAAAATTGCTTTGTCCCCTTTGTGAAAAAGTCATTTGAATTCCTCTAACAGGTTTTATAAAATACCATGCTCACTCCATCAATCTAATCTGTCTGTTCTTTGCAGGGTGGAAAACCCCGTAAACACCGGAAGGATCGGCTACAAGATTTAATTGATATAGGCTTTGGCTATGATGAGACAGATCCATTTATTGATAACTCAGAAGCTGTGAGTAATATGTCTTTAATATGGCAGCAAATTATTTTGGCTAGTAGAAGCAAAGGCAAAATAACTTAAGTAGTTCAATGAATGTTTTTTTTTTTTTTTTGTCGGTCGCGGGGCTTGAACTCTGGGCCTGCGCGCTGTCCCTCAGCTCTTCAGCTCAAGTCCAGCGCTCTACCACTTGAGCTACAGCGCCACTTCCGGTTTTCTAGTGGTTTATTGGAGATAGGAGTGTCACGGTCTTTCCTGCCTGGGCTGGCTTTGAACCTCGATCCTCAGATCTCAAGCCTCCCAAGTAGCTAGTATTACAGGCGTGAGCCACTGGCGCCTGGCAGTCAATGAATGTTTTTATGAGTGCTATTTTTTTTTTTTTTTTTTTGCCAGTCCTGGGGCTTTGATCTTGGCCCTGGCCACTGTCCCTGAGCTGCTTTTGCTCAAGGCTTACATTCTAATACTTAAGTCACAGCGCCACTTCTGGCTTTTTCCTGTGTATGTGGTACTAAGGAATGGAACCCAGAGCTTTGTGCATGCAAGGCAAGCACTCTACCACTAAGTCACATTCCCAGCCCTAAAGTTTGTTTGTTTTTTTGTTTTGTTTTGTTTTTTGGTCGGTCGTGGGACTTGAACTCTGGGCCTGGGCGCTGTCCCTCAGCTCTTCAGCTCAAGGCCAGCGCTCTACCACTTGAGCTACAGCGCCACTTCTGGTTTTCTGGTGGTTTATTGGAGATAGGAGTCTCACGGTCTCTCCTGCCCGGGCTGGCTTTGAACCGCGATCCTCAGATCTCAGCCTCCTGAGTAGCTAGGATTACAGGCGTGAGCCACCAGCGCCCGGCCTAAAGTTTGTTTTTAATTAGAGAATACTGCATGTAGATTTAAAATTTTGTGATGTTGGGTTGGTTTATGATGGGTTGAAGTAAACTAGATCATGTTTGGCAGGGCTACCCAGTAAATATTTGAGACTGAAAGCCATGTGATGTCTTACAGTTAGTTACTGTCATCGTAACTGGAGAGCAGTCACAGACAATGCATGTGAGTCAGTTAGAGTAAAACCTCATTTATGGGCCCTGACATTTAAATTTATGTTATTTACAGGTGCCACAGTATACTTACCATCTTCTGGTACTTTTCTAACAATTTAAATCATGTACAGTCTATTCCTTCCAGGCTGGATAAAATAAGTTGGTAGGCTGCACTCACCCTGTAGGTTGTGGTTTGCTAACACTATACTAGATCATGATTTATGATAGGCTGTGCTCCTTTCCACAGCCTGTAAAAATCTCTTGAGATTCTTTAGTAATTGCTCATTTTCAGACATATGTAGTTAACATGAATTTCATTACCACTCCTACTTCAAATGAAAATAAAAACCTTTTAAAAGAGAAAGGTTCTAGCCAAATGCCAAGTAACAGTTTATTAAATTAATGGTTCTTAATGCCTTGGAGGTAGAGATCTTCCTTTACCAAAAAGCTTGTCATTCAGCAGATATGGGCAGAAAATGCTCAATAGAGAAGTCCTAGATTAGAGTCCCACATTGGCTTCTAATTTATGAAGTAATCAGAAATGAATCTTTTTTGGTTTTTTTTTTTTTTTGGGTCTGGTCATGGGGCCTGAACTCTGGGCCTGGGCACTGTTTCTCAGCTCTTCAGCTCAAGGCGAGTGCTCTACCACTTGAGCCACAGCACCACTTCCGGCCTTTTTTTTTTTTCTTCTGCTTATGTGGTGCTGAGGAATCGAACCCAGAGCCTCATGCATGCAAGGCAGGCGCTCTACCACTGAGCCACCTTCCCAGCCCCAGAACAAACATATTAAAGAGTCTCATTGCCAACATTTCTTTTAGCTATAACATGTTTACCATAGTTTTTGCTGTTTTGTTTCTATGCTTTCTTTTTTTTTCTTTTTTTTTGGTTGGTCGTGGGGCTTGAACTCTGGGTCTGGGCACTGTCCCTGTGCTCTTCAGCTCAAGGCAAGTGCTCTACCGCTTGAGCCACAGACCACTTCCGTTTTTTTCAGTGGTTTATTGGAGATAAGTCTCAATGACCTTCCTGCCCGGGCTGGCTTTGAACCTCGAACCGCAGATGTCAGCCTCCTGAGTAGCTAGGATTGCAGGCGTGAGCCACCGGGACCGGCTGTGCTTTCTTCTTTTGTGTGCTTTGTGATGGTCCTAGGGCTTGAACTCGGGATCTGGCACTGTCCTTGAGCTTTTTTTTAATAAAGGCTATAGTTCTCTACCACTTGAATCACAGCTCTACTTTTGGCTTTTTTGGTCCTTAATTGGAGATAAGAGTGTCACATACCTTGCTTCCTAAGCTGTCTTTGAATTGGAACCCTCTGATTTTAGCTTCCTGAGTAGGATTACAGACGTGAGGCACTGGTGCCTGGATTGATTCATAATTTCTTTTTTTTTTGGGGGGGGGGTCTGGTCGTGGAGCCTGAACTCTAGGCCTGGGCGCTGTCCCTCAGCTCTTCAGCTCAAGGCTAGTGCTCTACCACTTGAGCCACAGCGCCACTTCCGGCTTTTTTCTTTTTGCTGAGGAATTGAACGGAGGGCCTCAGGCATGCAAGGCAAGTGCTCTACCACTGAGCCACCTTCCCAGCCCAATTTTTTTTTTTTAATTTGACATTTCTAGACCTTGAACCCAGGGCCTTGCATTTGCTTGTCTTGGCTTGCTAGTTTGGAGCTCTACCAACTTAAGTCATGCGTCCAGCTGATTTATAACATCGTTGATCACTATCTTCATTGTGATGATTCTCAGTTAAGAATCACCCTCTTAAGCCGGGCGCTGGTGGCTCATGCCTGTAATCCTAGCTACTCAGGAGGCTGAGATCTTAGGATCACAGTTCAAAGCCAGCCCGGGCAGGAGAGACTGTGAGACTCCTATCTCCAATAAAACCACCAGAAAACCAGAAGTGGTGCTGTGGCTCAAGTGGTAGAGCGCTCGCCTTGAGCTGAAGAGCTGAGGGACAGTGCCGAGGCCCAGAGTTCAAGCCCCACGGCCGACAAAAAAAAAAAAAGAATCACCCTCTTGGGCTGGGAAGGTGGCTCAGTGGTAGAGCGCTTGCCTGCATTCACGAGGCCCTGGGTTCGATTCCTCAGTACCACATAAGCAAAATGAAAAAACCAGGGGCTGGGAAGGTGGCTCAGTGGTAGAGCGCTTTGATTCCTCAGCACCACATAAGCAAAAAGAAAAAAAGCCGGAAGTGGCGTTGTGACTCAAGTGGTAGAGTGCTAGCCTTGAGCTGAAGAGCTGAGGGACAGCGCCCAGGCCCAGTGTTCAAGCTCCATGACTGACAAAAAAAAAAAGATTGATTTCATTTCCTCAATACCTGTGAATATTCCATATTTTTCTTTGAGGAATGATGCTTTTTCCAGGAGATAAGTATTCATCTTCAGTTCAAATGCTCATGAGTTTAATAAAAAGATTCTTCTTGATCTTTTCTTACTGTGTAATGTTCTTGTTGAATCTCCTGACTGTTTTTTTGTTTTGTTTTGTTGTTGGTTATGGGTCTTGAACTCTAGGCCTGGGTGCTGTAGCACTCTACCACTTGAGCCACAGCACCACTTCCAGTTTTCTGGTGGTTTATTGGAGATAAGAGTCTCATGGACTTGACTGCCGGGGCTGGCTTTGAACTACAATACTTAGGATCTCAGCCTCCTGAGTAACTAGGATTACAGGCATGAGCCACCAGCGCACCTGCTTCATTGTTATACATCTTTTTTTTTTTTTTTGGGTCCGGTCGTGGGGCCTGAACTCTGGGCCTGGGCGCTGTCCCTCAGCTCTTCAGCTCAAGGCTAGCGCTCCACCACTTGAGCCACAGCGCCACTTCCGGCTTTTTTCTTTTTGCTTATGTGGTGCTGAGGAATCAAACCCAGGGCTTCATGTATGCAAGGCAAGCGCTCTACCACTGAGCCACCTTCCCAGTCCCAGAAATGAATCTTTTAAAGTCACCTTGTTTTAAGGTGTAAATATAAACATGTTGAGAAACATAAACAAGTATAAAGTAATATTATGTGTAGATTAAAAAAAATTTGTATGTATCTGTGTATGTTTGCGTATTTTTGCCAAGCACGCCTCCACTTCCAGCTTTTTGGTGGTTAATTGGAGATAAGAGTGTCATGGATTTTCCTGCCTGGGCTTGGTTTTGAACTGCATTCCTCAGAGCTCAGCTTCCTGGGTAGTTAGGATTATAGGCATGAACCACTGGTGCCTATCTTATGAGTTCAGTTTTTTAAGATTTTACACACAGGTGAAAATCATGGTATTTGTCTTTGTTTGTGTGGTTTATTTTATTTAATAAGTTACAGCTGTATACATATGATTGTAAGTGATAGTTTTATAAGGCCAAATAGTATTCTGTTGAACAGATACATCACATTTATAAAAACTGATTGGTGTTCTGATGTACATTTAAGATGTTTTCAATATGTTGCCTATTTTGACTAGTGCTTCTCTTTGGTGTGTACTGAGGAGTGGGATTTGTTGTCTGATTTGCAGTTTTGTGGTTTATATTCAATGTTTTTATGATGAGTGAACTTCTTTGACATATTTATAGAATTATAGACGTACAATGTATCTGACTCTTCTTTTAAATCTAGTATGATGAATTAGTTCCTGCTTCTCTAACAACAAAATATGGAGGCTTTTATATCAATACTGGCACTCTGCAGTTTCGCCAAGCTTCAGATACTGAAGAAGAAGATACTACAGACAACCAAAAGCACAAGCCACCCAAGGTGAGTTTATTCAACATTATAGTAATAAGGATAACAGTGAATTAGTAGGTTGTACTTTTTGTTGTTTTGTTTTGTTGGGTTTTTGCAGTGTTCAGGATGGAGTCCAGGACCTCATGCATGGTAGCAAGAGCTCTACCATTACTATACCTCCACCCCAGCATGTACTTTTTGAATGTCATTTGTGCCGTACCTGTGAATGAAAGGAAGAGTAAAACACTAACCTTAGTTAATGAATCTTAATTTTATGCCTAAATTAAAATTATGTAGACATGGAAAAATTACTATTTATATCATACTTAAAATATATTTTCTTTTGGGACTAGGAATGTGGCTTAGTGGTAGAGTGCTTGCCTAGCATGCATGAAGCCCTGGGTTTGATGCCTTAGTACCACATAAACAGAAAAAGCCAGAAGTGGCTCTGTAGCTCAAGTGGTAGAGCACTAGCCTTGAGCCAGAGAAACTCAGGGAAAGTGCCCAGGCCCTGAGTTCAAGCCCTAGGACTGGCCAAAAAAGAAAAAAGAAAAAGAAAAATATATTTTCTTTTATTATTTTTTCTCTACAGATAAGATTTGATAATTTATTATTTCTGGGATATGTTTAAGTTTCTAGATAAGTAAGAATGGTGTAATATATGTATTGAAAATTGTCCTCTGCTACCCCTCAAAAAAAGAATTGTCCCTGGCTTTTAAAAAAAACAAACAAAAAAAGATTTGGTAAAGATGAGTTTTAATACTAAATACCTTTTCTGCTATTTAATCTGGAACATAATTTTTAGAATTAATACACTGTTTGGGGGAAATTAATGGTGTCTGTATTTTCTGACATGAGATCCAAAGACTTAATTGTACCAGAATTACCACAGTCCTTGTTAAATGTGCAAATCTAATTTCTGTAAATAGTTAACTAGTTGAGTAGTAACCAGTTAATTTGCCTGTATATCTCATTTTTATTTTTCTATGAATGCTGTTGATAATATTGTTGTAAGAGTTCTCAGTACTTGTTTTGATTCACAGAACAGGCCTGCCACACTTGTGAATCATTTATGTTTGTTTTGGTTTTGCTCTGCTTTGTTTTGATTTAAGTTGCCCAATCAGTCAGAAAAGAACCCAGAGAACTGAATCAAAACCATAGGGTGAGAGTGCTCCTGGCCCCTGAGCACCTGCACCTTTCTCAGTGTCTCCTGGACATTTAGACTTGAAAAAAAAAATCACTTCTCGGGATTTCAGCTTGCTAGTGTTAAAGAGAAAAGCATTGGCATTGAGATGAAAGATGTATTCTTTTTATCAATATTCAGGTTCCCAAAATAAAAGAGGATGATATTGAGACAAAGAAGCGGAAGCGGAAAGAGGAAGGGGAAAAGGAGAAGAAGCCAAGGAAAAAAGTACCCAAACAAATGGGGTATGTTAACCTAATATGGGCACTAGGGTCACATTATGACTATTTCCCCTTGTAGAAATGTAATTTATCATTAATTAATTTAGCTTGGGTCTAATTTAATATACTGACTAGTATAAATAATCTTTTAACTTATATTTTAGCGATAAGTTGGTATTTATTAATAAGCAGAAGGCTTTGTCATTTTGGATACTGGGAATATTTTTAGATTCAACTTACAGATTAGTTCATTAAAATTTTTGCTCATTACAATTTTTCCAACAAGAACCATTTGAAACCGGGCACTGGTGGCTCATGTCTGTAGTCCTCGCTACTCAGGAGCCTGATATCTGAGGCAGTTGAAAGCCAGCCTGGGCAGGAAAGTCCATAAGACTCTTATCTCCAGTAAACTACTCAAAAAAGCTGGAGTGGCACTGTAGCTCAAGTGGTAGAGCACTATCTTGGAGCAAAAATAAGCTCAGATACAGCACCTAGGCCCAGAGTTCAAGCCCTAGGACTGGCAAAAAATAAAAATTTTTAAAAAGGGGCTGGGAAGGTGGATCAGTGATAGAGCGCTTGCCTTGCATGCATGAGGCCCTGGGTTCAATTCCTCAGCACCACATAAGAAAAAAGAAAAAAAAAGCCTAGAGTGGCGCTGTGGCTCAAGTGGTAAAGCGCTAGCCTTGAGCTGAAGAGCTGAGAGAAAGCGCCCAGGCCCAGAGTTCAGGCCCCATGACTGGACCCAAAAACAAACAAAAAAACCATTTGAAAAAGATGGTGTAAACATCCAACAAAGAATTTAATCTTCTAGCCCTAAAAATAATTTTAGATGCTCAGATTGAGAATTAGCAGTAGTGTTTGTGAAAAACATTTATGGTTGCTTTAATATAATAAATATCCTAGGCTGGGGGTGTGCTTAATGAAAGAACACTGCTTAGCATGTGAGTCCCAAGAGTTATTTTTTATGTTTGTGACTTAGGAAGCATATTGATGCTAAAAATCAAATCAAAATTGTCAAAAGCCTTGAGTCAAAAGAATAAGATATTTGTAAGATTCTGTGGGGAATTGCTGCTTGCCTCTACTTTGCCTTTTTCATAGAACCAATGGAAAAACTCTTCGGAGAGGCTAGCTTTCCTTCCCTCCTTAACCAGGAAGTACCCAAAAGGTTGATGTAGATAGAATATTTCCCTTTCTAAACATGGGGTTATACTTGTAATTATGACCAGAAGTCAGTAAGAAATTCTTGAGAAAGCCAGGAATGATGGCACATACCTGTAATCCTAGCACATTCAGCATTAAAAATTTCCCAGGCACACTGTTTTAAGTTTAGAATATATAACAATACTGAAATATGAGCTGTGTTCAAGGTAATAATCCTGTAGGCTCTGTAGTATATGTAGAAACATTTAAGCTACAATACTTAGAAAGAGTTGAGAATGATAGTAAATACAACTTTCCACTAGTTTAGGTAGAGAGAAGGTTATTGAGAATTACAGCTTTTCTGAATGATGTTCAGATGGTAGTATCAATTAGAGCAGCAGCATCTAGGAGATGACAACATAAAGGTGTAAAAGACATGGTCACAAATTGGGACATTGGCTTTAGTATTTCTTCAGTGTTCTGTAGCTTAAGCCACTTGTGCTCCCAGTTTGAAGGTGGACAATAGTAAATGTCTGGTTGTAAGTAACTCTTATTTTCAACAAGAAATACATTACTGGTGAATTCTTTTTTCATATTTCTTTTTTTGGTGGTAATGGGTTTAAACTCAAAACCTTGTGTGCTAGGCAGCCAATAAAATAAAGGTTACTACTTTATAGATGGGCTAGGAAATATGGACATTCTACAATTAGTGTATTAAACTTTTAATGCATTTTAGTAAATAAGCAACATTGAGTTTTATTTCTTTCCATTGGCTTTATTCCTTTCTTTTTCTTCACTGTGATAGCCATTTATGTATCTGCTTTAATAGATGACAATCCAAGTGATGATAAAGAAAACACACACACACACACACACACATACACACACAGTATAACTTAATAAATTTAGAAGAAAATTGCTCTATCACTTTTCAAATGTCTATGTTAGTTCCATATCTACTTTCTTCCATGGAGCTTTGACTTTTAAAGTCTCACATAGCCTAACTGATAACTTTTTTTCTTTACAGAGTTGTGGCTCTAAATTCACACAAGGCTGAAAAAAAGAAGAAACGTTATAAAGATTCACTTTCTTTAGCTGCCATGATACGAAAATTTCAAAAAGAGAAGGATGAATTAAAGGAGTCTAATCCGAAAGTCCCAGTGACCTTATCAACCTCCTCTCTGACCAAGTCCCCGTGTGCTGCCACAGCATTGGGAAATGATGTCCCGGACTTAAATCTGAGCAGCACTGATCCAGACCTCCCCATTTTTGTTAGCACAAATGAACACGAACTGTTTCAGGAAGCCGAAAATGCCCTAGAGATACTAGATGACTTCGACTTTGACAGATTCCTGGATGCTGCTTCTGATGAGAGTCCTCTCTCTGAGTCGGGGGGAGAAAATGGAACCACCATCCAGCCAACCTTTGCCTCTCAGGTTATGCCTAAGGTGATACCTACACTCCCAGAGGGTCTGCCTGTACTTCTTGAAAAACGCATTGAGGACCTCCGTGTAGTAAGTGTAATGAATGACTCTTTTAGTTTTTATTTGCTTCATAAATGTACTAATGCTTCGTTTTTTTAAATGATAAAGTGACCCATAATTGGCTCACCCTTTATTTTCCATATTCTTTCAAACAGTGTCTGTATACGTAGACCTTTTGCTTACATTGAAATAATTACAGCATATATATAATTTTTTGTTTTGTTTTTTTCATTGTTGGTAATGAAATATGTATTAGGGAAATGCTCTACTAGCAAAGCTGAATCCTAACCCTCTATAGATTCTTTTATTACTTCAGTTTACTTACAATTATTTTTTGTATGTTTTATACAATTTTCATTAGCTACATAGTCATATAAAGAAAACAGCGAGCCAGGCATCATTAGCTACATAGTCATATAAAGAAAACAGCGAGCCAGGCGCTGGTGGCTCACACTTGTAATCCTAGCTACTCAGGAGGCTGAGATCTGAAAATCGCAGTTTCAAAGCCAGCCTGGGCAGGAAAGTCCGTGAAACTCTTAGCTCCAATAAACAGCCAGGACATCAGAAGTGGCGCTATGGCTCAAGTGGTAGAGCACTACCCTTGAGCTGAAGAGCTGAGGGACAGCACTCAGGCCCAGAGTTCAAGCCCCATGACTGACGAAAAAGAAAAGAAAACAGCATTGAAAGAAGCAAGTTAGGAACACTGAAAAGGTACCTGAGTGTATTCCTAACTTTGGTGATATCTAGTTAATTAGCTTTTTAATCTATTATTTTTCAGTGATACTGATGATTAAGCCAGGGTCTGATGAGTGCTAGTTAGCCGTCTACTACACAATTATGTACCCAGCCCTTAGTCATATCATAATCTATTTTTCCAACAGCTGTAGTAGATGTGAATTATAGTCTTACTAGGACAAATGTAGGAGCTGAGCCTATCAAGTATCACAATAGATTCCTCTCCAGGTCAATTTGGCTTAATAATATTCCTTTAACTAGTTGTTAGTCTAGTTAATATCTTATATCCTTTTTGGTGGTATTTTGTTTTAAGATGTGCTAGTTCTAGCTTAAAATGCTTTTTGAGTACTTGAACATGTTTATCTGAACCCATGCCGTATTTCAGTTGTTTTGGAATATTTTTCCTCTTGATACATAAGTAATACAAGCTGGGTGTGATGGTATGCACCTATAATCCCAGCACTCAGCAGGTTGAGGCCGAAGATCTGGGGATTGAGGCTAGCTTGGGCTATAGCAAGATCCTCTCTCCAAAACAAAACAATACAGAATATTCATACTTAGGGAAAGACTTTTGTTTTCTGACACTTTTGTTCCTCATGAGAGATACTTACTATCACACTGCTATTTTTCCTATTTCTTTTTCTTTTTTGGTTGGTCACAAGGCTTGAACTCAGAGCCTGGGTGCTCTCCCTGAGCTTCTTTTGCTCAAGGCTAGCACTCTACCACTTTGAGCCACATTGCCACTTCCTGTTTTCTGGTGGTTAATTGAAGATAAGAATCTCACACACTTTCCTGGCTTTGAACTGTAATCTTCAGATCTCTCAGCCTCCTGAGTAGCTAGGATCATAGGTGTGACCCACCACTGCTATTTTTCTATGAATTTACAAATATTACTAAAAATGATTGTTGTATATGGCTACAATGTATGAGTTATAATGTATGTGGTTGTAATACATGACTATACTATATTTTGCCTTTTTCTCCTAGAATTTTGCTATTTAAATAATCTGTTGCATTTATTTAACTCTTTTAAAAAACTATTATCTTTAGGTAGTTGTATAGAGAAGATGCCATATAACAAAGCAGTTTATCGCCCCTTTCAACATTCTTACCCCCACTTTGACCCACCCTTTATTTTTCTTAATTTTGAGGTATATACAATGAATTCTTTTTTTTGGGGGGGGGTCCAGTCGTGAGGCCTGAACTCTGGGCCTGGGCGCTGTCCCTCAGCTCTTCTGCTCAAGGCTAGCGCTCTACCACTTGAGCCACAGCGCCACTTCCGGTTTTTTTTTTCTGTTTGCTTATGTGGTGCTGAGGAATCGAACCCAGGGCCTCATGCATGCAAGGCAAGCGCTCTACCACTGAGCTACCTTCCTAGCCCCTACAATGAATTCTTGACTACATTGTTCTCTCTTTCCCCCCTTCATTCCTCTACCTTCTTCCCTTAGCCCTGCCCCCTATCCCCTTTTCACGTATTTCTGGTATTGATTTTGTTGGGCTTTGATCTAGTCTTTCAGTCTAAAAGATTATACTATTTGAGCTCTCCATAGTGTCTGTTATACTTCAGTTAATTCATTTGTAACCACGTGCATATAGCCCAACAAGTTTAGTTACAGACATTGGTATTTTTTTTTTTTT